AGTGCATTATTTATAGACTATGCAGATGAAAGGAGTAACACTAGCCAACCACAAAATGCCTTTGCTAAGAAAAAAAGGCTGTAGTTGTTGACCTCCTTGTGCATATGCCAGTGGCCAGTGGCAAAGCTGCATGCTCATGTGATTTTTAGTAAAAGGGGGGTAAAGGTCAGCTTTAATGTCTTCCCATGCTTCCAGGACAGGAAGTGAAGAAAAATCTCAGATGTCAAAACTAAATTAAACTAACTGGAAACAAAAAGAAAAATAGTATCTTTTGAAGAATTATAAAATCTTGTGTGTGTATGGAAATAAAACCGGAAGGCAGAGATGCATGAGATTATTCCCTGCAAATCAGGGGCGTAACTAGAAATCACAGGGCCCCATAGCAAAATTTTGTATGGGGCCCCAGGATTTCTAGATACGCCCCTTGCAGAGGCCAGCTGAGATCCCACACAGCCCACCTGAGTGACCCTGCAGAGCCCACCATAGACTCTCTGTGGTGAGCACTGCAGGGTCTCACATGGGCTGGTCACACCCCTGCTCACTTCTTACCTGTCAACCCTGATCCGCCATCAGCCTCCTCCACCGCCAGGCCCTGCCTCTTCCTCCACGGTCGCTGACCGGCCACGCCCCTCCTCTGCTGGGCCCCGTCTACTCTTCCGCTGCCGACGCTGGGTCCAGCCTCCTCCTCTGCAGCTGCTGGCTGTCACTGACTCTGCAGCGGCTGTGGGAGGAACGCGCCGCTGCACAGATCACTGATAGATTGTCAGTGATCTGAACAACGGCGCGTTCCTCCGAACAGTCGCTGGTGACAGCCAGCAGCCTGCGATGCTATAGCAACCCAGGCAGCCCGCACTGCATCAGGCAGACCCCTTTGTTCCTCGTCCTGGCCAGGGTGCCTTGGACCCCATACCGACCGCCTGGGTCGCTATGGCGACAGTTCCGCCACTTCTGAAGTTGTACTGCGTTTGTAATGTCACACTCAGCTGGAAAATAGCAAGTAATCCAACTATACACAGGACCTACATAAGAGTAGAAAAGCAGGTTTATTTCACCAACGTTCCAGCAGGTCACAGCCTACATTTCTCACGGCTTGAGAAAAGCGGGCTGCGAGCTGCCGAAATGTTGGTGAATTAAACTTACTTTTTACGTATGTACTCTTATGTAAGTACTGTGACTGTCTACTAAATATATATATTTGGATTACTTGCTATTTTCCAGCAGAGTGTGACATTACAAAATAATGCAACACTGCTGCACTGTTCCTTCACTACCCTTTCTTTCACCATGCTTATAATGACACACACAGGGATTAATCTCATGTGTCTCTGCCTTCCTGTTTTATTTCCATGTGGAATGACTGATGGCTGTAACAGTACCTGCCAGTGAAATCCATATCCAGCTATAGCAGTGAGCGAGGTAGAATGGAGCCAAGTTACCTGTGTTTTTGGAAGATGAACTGACAGACCATTATGGAGCTCTGGCAACTCCTAATCTGTTTCTATTTCAGGAATGCCGACTTAATGAGGCTGCAAAGCGGCTTAAGAGTTGTATGGTTTTAGTCATTCAGCATTTACAAATAATGCACTGTGCAGCCAGCTGTAATATTTGTTACACTTTTAAATGCAAACTGCTGTTATCAGTTTAAAGAGTATTTCTGGGCAACAAGTGAAATTGGTGACCTGCTAATGCTATTGGGCTAATTACATCGTAATTGTTAAACCTCTTATTTTACTATTTATCATTATAATTCTCATATATAATTCTTCATTTAGACCTTTTAAGATGGGATTGCAGCCAATTTCCACTCAATTTATTCAAGGTGCTGCTCTGGTCTACATGTAATCTTTTTTTTTTTTTCTTTTGTTTAGTCAGTTTCACACTTTGAACATTTTGTTGTGTAGATCTTCAGATCTGCACGATTTGATTGTTTGCAGAACAATATAAATAATTTTCCGAAAATGCATGCACAACGTTTGATGCATGCACTAGACAGTCCTTTTTAAATAATTGGGCTGCCTTAACACCTCACACGACAGAAGCTATAGGCCTGATTCAGCTGGGGATGTGTTGGACCTCTGCAGAGAGACGACTGCCTCCACACAGAGGACAAGGCTTTTGGCTATACACATACTGCATAAAGTGATTACTCATCTTTATGTTGTTCCTGCTAGATAGACCGGTCCTGTAGCTGAGAGCTTCTACTTGAGTCCCCAGCTACATTGTAACAGAAACATTAAAGGAGAACTATGAGGTGAGTGAAAATCACTCATCCTCATAGTTCAAGCCGACATGTGACAATGAAACGGTCACATGTCGGCTCAATAGATCGGGAAGTGAGCGAACACATGCCTTCGCTCGCTTCTTGATCATCTCCCTGCAGAGAGCCGTGACTGTCAGTCACTGTTCCCCACAGGGATTTCCTCCTCCCCTCTCCGATCCTCCAGTGCTGACTGGAGGAACAGACTGGGGAGAGGGGCGGGTACAGCTGGCTCTGCCTCTAGATAGGCAGAGCCAGCTGTCACTCACGCAGCTGGGTGGATCTCAACAGTAATGTCGGGATCCGTTCCGGCTGCAGCGGTCTCAGTATACCGTGAGCTGTAGCTTGCGATATACTGTACTGAGCTTTGGGCCAGTCTATGTCCTCCCGTGACCCTTAAGAGAACTATGGGGAAAAACACTTCCCCCATTGTTCTCTTTTAATTACTGTCCTGACACAGGGAACTTTTGAGTTGCCGATTTTTGAAAATTAGATTAGATTTACATATGACTTGGCCCACCCTCAGATGACAGAACTTGGGTCAATATACAGTATACACATAGACTGTGGTAAAATAGACTGGTTTATATAACCAAGCTGGCCCTAGGTATTGTATTATTTGCTAGCAGCTGGTGAAACATACAGATTTGACGGCTTTCCATCCTCATATATAACTTGCCTTCAATATTTAATCCTGTTGGTGGCTGGATTAGTTTTGGCATGGATTAGAGAGATATGTAGTGCATAAATCCTTCCTCTCATACCTTGCCACTTGAGAATTTATATGATAGGATCATCTGGAAAGGGAAAAGTGTTGCCAGGGTAAAGCTGGTGGTCCAGTGTCTAAGCTGTATCTATAGAGATAAGACTGGAATGTTTTATTCAACCCCTCAGTCTACATTAACCATTGTTATTGTTTTTTCTATTCAATCTATGTGTTTGATACCTGGTCTACATTTATCCCCTTGTAATTCCAGCTACATTTGAGAACTTGAAATTGCCCCACAAGGGTTAGCTTCTGGTGACTTTCATTTGCTATGTACATGTACATTCTATGGGTTTGTTTATGTCCACCTAGAGCAGGGGTTCTAAAACTTTTTGTGATGAAAGACCTTTAATGGTTTGCCCAATATGTTCCCATCTCCCCTTTGCTGAATGTCAAAATCATCATTTTCAGACCTTTTGGGTACCAGTATGACTTTAAATGATGTCAATAACAACTTTAAAAAATCAAGAGGATTCATTTGTCTTTCCACCAAATTAGTTCCTTGTAAGTTATACAAATCTCTGAACCTAGTAGTTTGGATGGCTCTCCATGGCCTATCTTCCTGGTGCTTAATTGGAAAGTGCACCGTGTCCCCTGCTGCTTTGATAACTCTACTATATACTGTAGTTCTGTATCTACCTTGTGCTTCTTGTAGATTTAATTCTTCCTCTAAGGATGCTTGCCATACACACAGAACAGGCATAGCAGAAACACATTTGAGGTGTTTTTTTACTGTTAGGATTAATTCCTGTGCACAGACCACTATATAGACCTTTAAAAAAGACCTAGCAGCTGGAACAGCAACTCTTATAAAAAGTGCAATCTTAGGGAACAAAAGAAACACTCAGCAAACACTCAACCTACACTTTAATCCAAAAGTCTTCTAACTTTATTCTAATCTGAATTATAATTTACTGCAGCTATATTTCAGATAGGTCTTCACTTGTATCAGGGTGGGTATACTTGCTCAGTGGGTGCAATCAGCTTTAGACTTCCAAAGGTGGCTGTGAGGAACGTCTTAGTACGGGCGTTTTGCTACAAGTGACAAAACCCTCAGATGTGAACATGGGCATAGAAATTAATGGGATTTTGTTTTGGCCATTTTTTTTTTTTTAAGCATGTTTCAGGGCAGAAAAAACACTACAAAAAGCTAGGTGTGATCCAGGACTAAAGCTGATTGTGGAACACATACTATATGGAAAGGGAATGCTCAATAAGGGTCAAAGCTGTGTTGTAATGAGCACTTCTAATGTGTACATGTACTCTGCATTATCACTGGATTATTTTAAGTAGGGATGTATCGGAGGATTAGGGTGAGTATGAGTACTCGGCCAAATACTCTGTATCTGCACAAGTACCGATAACTAGTACCGGACATACCGCTGATACCGGAACTTCCAGTCAGAGGGAGGTTTGTGCGAGGGAACATAGAGCCGGCTTCCTGTTTGGCCGGGAAGCCGGCTCCATGCTGTTTGACCGGGAAGCTGTTTGGCTGGCTCAGTGCTGATTGGCCGGGAAGTCGGCTTCCTAGCTAACCAGTATTGAGCAGGCCAAACAGCAGAAAGCCAGGCAGCGGGTAAAGACCCGCCTCCCAACTTCCTGATTGGCCGGGAAGCAGGTGTTGTGTTTTTGCTTTTTAAAAAAATTATTTTATGGAGAATTCAACAGGAGCACTGGGAATACCCAAGCATGGATAGGAACAGAGGCACAACTATGGTGTAAACATTTAACTGCATGAGTTCCCACTTTATATTAAATGTCAGGGAGCAGCTCGGCCTTTCCCTGGCCTGTAACTAAAAGATGATTTTGTGTAAATCTACCTCAAGCAATGGTCGTAAAAGCAAAAACTGAGCAGTGGATGACAAACCTAAGGCGATGAACATAGTAAACAATTTAGCTTGCAAACAAGTTTTTCAGTCTTCTATGGGTAAAAGGATTTGTTCCCCAAATCTAACTATCCGTTTGCTCTTTTAACAGATTATTTATGCTCGCCAGAAGAAAATATTTACAAGATAGATTTCACGAGATTTAAAATCCGGGACATGGAGTCAGCAACTGTTCTATTTGAAATCACAAAGCCACCAGCATCAGGTGAGGTTCATTGATTAAACAAAAAATATGAAAATACAGCACTTCCCCACCCTATCTACATCAAATAAAAAGAGATTAAAAATGCTACCAGTTAAAACACTAAAATGTGCTGCTATCTAATACAGAAATCTTTAAATATGTTATATACATGTGATCCTGTTAGTTTATAATTGGTCCATATCCGTGTGATTTTTACACTGTAATCATTCTGCCAACACCATTGTGCTTCAAACACACTCGCTGGAGTGTTTTGTCCTCTTTGACTTAAACATGTCTAAAGATTTCTGTTTTCATTTTTATAGCTTATTATTTATTTCTGTATTAGATAGCAGCACCTTTTTAGTGTTTTGTTTACCTGGTAACATTTTTTATATTTTATTGCTGTATATTTATCATTTTTTGCTTCTTTCTTTTTTTATCCTTTGTGATTATTTGTTCAGCTGCTAATAGCAACAAGAGGATTGTAGGGTTATGCGTTAATTAAGCACAGAGCACTGTGGATTGTAAGAAGTTAATTTTTTGATGGACAGGAATTTGGGATCATCAGCCTTATTCAGTGAGGTAATGCAAAATGATTTAGCCTGGCCATAGACGCGTATCTGTCCTCTATTATTTCTGAAGAAATTGGGATCCACATCAATCTCCTCAACTCAACTCTACACAGCACAGTAGTTGCTAACTATTTATATGGAGTTCCCTTTGAAACATTGTAAGCACCAATGGCAGTGTTTGTAGTTTGTCCCAGTCTCACTTTTGCTGGACAACTTTGTCTGCAAGGAGAATATCTCCTTTGCGAGACTGGATGCAGCAAAGTTTTTGGCCACTGAAACATTTCGGTCGAAAATGGCACTATGGACAAAATGGCAATAGTAGAAATAAAGTGCATCCCCAGCTTCTCTCCTCCCCGCTTGGCACCGGCTGCAAGCTTTGGTCTGTATCCCCTCCTATCCTTGCTGCCCTCTCCTGCCTGTGTATCAGCAGAGGCAGTGGGAATCAGAGGGGACTTTGGTCTGTATCCCCTCCTATCCTTGCTGCCCTCTCCTGCCTGTGTATCAGCAGAGGCAGTGGGGATCAGAGGGGACACAGAGCCGAACCAGCTGCCGGTGCCCAGTGGGGTGGAGAGAAGCTATCAGTAGGCCGAGCAGTGTGGTTCGGGGAGGAGAGCTCGGCTCCGGTGACAGTCGGGAGGGGACAGTAGTCAGGATGGAGAGCGGAGCTCAAACAATGAGCAATCAGTACTGATCACCCAGTGTTTGTAAATAAATTAGGACATAGTAAGCTTACTATGACCCTAGTTATGAATGAAGAAGTGCTATACATCACTTCCTGTTAATTTATGAATGGAGATTTAGTAAATATTAACTATCTGCTCACTTTATGAATTAACGGGAAACAGCTTAGTTCAAAGGCTTCCGGTCCAATGATTACTGGGTTGATAGTGTATATGTTCTATCTCTGGATTATGAATGAACAGGTAGCCTCTGTACTAAGAGGTGCGTGCTCATTGAGTGCTGGGGCTGCAGAAAAAGAGATTGAGAAGACGGTCCTCAAATCCTCAATCTTTTTCTATTTTAAAAGGGAAATATCAGGGGTCTGTTTAGACCCCTGATATTTCCCCAAAGCCCCTGACAGTAAACTAAAAAAACAAAACATAATAATGAAAAAAGTATTAAACATTTTAAAATGATTGAAAAATGTAATTTTGGTGCATCCCGTAATCTATATATCCCTAATATATGCCACCTATGTCTATGCAGACTAGTAAAACAGCAGTAGTAAAAATAATATTACAGCAATTATACATTTTATTGGGTAAACAGATTGAGAAGGGAAATTATGCTTGCGGAACGTATGAAAATAAGGAACATATAACAAGGACAGCAGCATCAGTTTATGCATCAAATGTAAACGGAGGAAATGCAACAATTCCTGTTTAGCAAGTTTGTATTCTAATTTTATCAGTTACGATCCTCCCTATTGTAATATGTCCTGCAAGAAGTGGAACAAGTAAAACTGTTACTACTGTTTCATAATCTAGTCATTTTGTATTTCTTCATTGGTCTACATTCTATCCTATTTCCTGTGTAAGACCTGATTATGCTCAACTTCAGAGTTATTGCATTGTGGTAAATAGAAATTTGAATACAAATAAACTGTTTGTTTTGATCATACGTTGCTGAAGCAATTATATAAAGCTATTATATACATATTATATACAGTATAGCACCTTTTATAGCGCTCCCGTTGATTTACTACAGATGCTAAGTCATGAATTTTGTGTACCTAGATACCTTTTTTTTAAAAATACAAATAATTTGTTTGTTTTGATCATACGTTGCTAAAGCTATTACATACAGTATAGCACCTTATAGCGCTCCTGTTGATTCACATAAATCTTGCCTTAGCAACTTTAGTATAAGTGAATACCTTTTTCTGCTGCCCAACTCCTGAAGTCCACCGTGGTCCTCAGAAAAAAAAAACCACTTTGGGGAGTGTTGATCTCCTGGGGCCCCCTGCAGCTCTCACTGACTCCTTTTGCTGACATCCATGTCACTACAGGAGAAAGCATTGACTTGGAGGTCAGCATAATTAACCAGTGATGGTGCAGGGGACCAAGGAGATCATGACTCCTGGAAGTATGGGTTTCACTTCAGACTTAAAACAACTAATAGGGACATCCGCACTTACAGTTTTCTCTTAGTCGCTCTGAAAAGTCCCTCAAATACCTGTTAAACCTGCCAGTGAAGTCCATTGCATGCAGCTTCCTGTGATGGTATGGCAACGATGCTGCACTGCTCCTGAATTCCAAGCAGAGTTGCCATTCTCCTGCAGGCTGTGCCTGATTGCATTCCCATGGAATGAAAAAATGTTGCAGTACTGGAGCAGTATTTGGAGGCAGGGGCAGTGAGAAAGTTAAGTGTATTTGTACAGGCAGATCTTGCTATACTAACTTGTGAAATGACAGGGTCACTTTAGTAAACTATATTGTAAATACAGTAAACTCCCAGTCATCCGGCACCCACGGGGATCGGTAGGTGCCGGATAACTGTAAAGTTTGGTTAATAGTAACTCTTAAGCAAGTTGCTAACAACATTTTTTTAGTGTGCACCAAGGAATCGACAATTTTTATGTATAAATCAAGCCACCGGCAAATAAAAAATCGAGGACATATGTCCTTGATATTTTTTTCTTGGTTTTTGGTTGCTTGAGAGTTGCTTGGATGCCAAATAATGGGGAGTTTACTGTAGGTTTTAGCCAATTATATTCAGTAATGCCAACAGAATGGCCTTTATTTGTAACAATTCGTGAATTAACCCTATTATGCAATGAACTGTTGTAAAATCCCCAGGCATATAGAGAGAGAGAGAGAACATCAATTAATGTAGTTCCATATTCACTGAAATGATTAAATTAGTGCAATAAGCGCAACTTGTACCTGAATCTTTCAGATACAAGTTGACAGAAGGAGAATGCAGTTAGCAGAGGGATAACCGCATGAGTGTGCTGCTGTTCCTTAACAGTCATATGAGCAGGGTGGGGGCCTTGACCATGCTGTGCAGTTGTTGCCATGGAGGTCAAAGTCCTGACTGTTCTGTCTGGCAGGGGTTTAGGGATCCAAGATTGGCTGTACAGCATTACAAGCATTAAAAGTTTTAATATTTGAAAAGGCAAAGGCTTAAAACCTCATATTAGTTTATTTGTTGCTGTCTTTGTCTTGCAAGGGAGATTTTCCTTAACTTCCTCTCATGCAACAGGAAGTTAGAGGAAATCTCCATAAAGTGAAGGGAATTCTATTAGCTTCTTCAGCTCTAATAAGTGTAAGGAACAGCTACTTTGAGTAGCAAAATGTATTTAACATTACAGGACCTGGATCAATGAGAATATCCACAGAGATACATTTGGCCTCTTTAAACCTCACCCTGATTTGTATAATCATGCCAGTTTTTATGCACTCCTTACCGAAAAATCCCTTGAAGGGGGGTAGGGGGGGGGGTGCAGTGACTGCGGATGACACCGCAAATATCAGCAATTGTGCAAAGATGTCACCAGCACACCAAAATCCTTCTTGGGTTAAGCAAATGTTCATTAATTGAAGTTCCTTGTCATATAAACAACAAGCGCTTTTGGGGCCACACAGGGTCCCTTTATCAGCCTTTAGCATTGACGCGTGAAGTCTAAGAGCCAGCTGGTGTTCACCAGAGCACCTGATGCACCTGATTTGGTGGATGAATTTTACTGCGTGCTGACCCTAGGTTGCAACCCAAAGATTCACTTTGCTCAGCAGATAGCAGAAGAGGTTCACCAGGAGACAAAGCCAAAGGTTGGGGCAGGCAATGGACGAGAATCACAAGTGTTGCTCAGGCAGCAAGTAAGGCCCACACTGAGGTTAAATAGTCTGGGCAAAGAGAGGAAGCTGCTCTGATTGTCTGCAGGCTGAAAAGGGGAGGAGGATGCCACGGTCAGACGTGCAGCACGGACCTAGCTGTGGCCTGTCAGGAGGAGGGTGCCATTCTGAGAGGACGCGGCACTTCAAGTAAAATCTGGAAGTTCAGGTGGCTTAGTGTCAAAGAAGCAAGGGAGAGGCAGGAGTGGGAAAGGTAATGCTGACGCTCCAGAATTACATATGAATTTGTCCAGCCTTGATGTATTGGAATAAATATGGGGGGTGCTATTGCTGCCCTACTTCTAAAAATGCTAGCTGCTAAGCTGCCTCTGGCTTCAATATTTGAAATCACTGACAATTCAGTTAAAATCTGAATTTGATGCCAGTGCTCGGACCCTTATGGAGGGAGAGCTTTGAGCCCCTGAAATGTGTTGGCTTTTTGGTTTACATGTTGTGAAAGATGAGATTTCTTCTGAAGTGAACTAGATTAGGCTCTGTGGCATTCTCCTCTGTCTGATGCTTAGCAGACTGCTTCACAGAGCCATTTGGATTCCATAGTTAACAGATAGCTGCATCTAAAAATCATTTTTTTTAAACTTTTGATAATGTTCTGGAATCAATGGCACCACTAGCACACACCAGCATAAAATGCAGCCTCAGTACTGGAAGTGATCTATACAAATAAAAAGTTGAACATCTATTATTGATGCAATCCAGATGTTATGAGTGTTATGTTTAGTTTATATGCAACTCTATGATTCATCTCTGTGGCACTTGTTTCCTGGGATGCGTTTCCTGTTCCTGTTCTGTGGGTTCTCTTCTAAGAACATGACTTCTGTACACTAACAGCTTATACTGTCATTATTACCACATAAACTGCGATAACCAACAGCAACCAATCAGATTTTGGTTGATTGAAGCCGGATTACTGATTGATGACATTTTATGGGACGCTCAGTGTGCATATTGTGCCTTGCCTGATTCAAAAGATGTTGGTACTCGTGAGCTGTTATACGCAATAGAGCAGTTCCACCTAGTGGCCAAGCAGTATTATGTAGAATGTCTTTTTTGTTACATCTCTAAAAGAAAGGATGTAGCAGTACTTTCCTCCTGTTTTTCAAGAGTACAACTTGCCAAAATAGAGAGATCTGAGATACATTTTTTATCCCAGAACTATAAAATTGATTTGCAGAGCAGAGTGACTTTTAGTTGTACTATTGTCTTTTTTTTTGTAAGTACACTGAAAGACAACCTTGCAATATGGTCATGTTAAAACAAAAAATGACCTGTGGATAATATCACATTTAAATCTTTCCTAGAAGGATTATTATTAATACTTTTTAAGTCCATATAATCCTTTCACTGGAATTGTATTTAGGTGCTGGAAGATCTGCATATCCACAGAGAGTATAGAAGGAGCTCTTGTTGTGGCTAATGAGACTTTAGACAAGACAACAGGTTGGCGATGAGCGAAATTGCTGATATCACATGAGGAAATCACCTGGCAGTATTGACAATGGACTATCATACATTCATACATTCATTCATTCATACATACATACATACATACATACATACATACATACAAGATTATTTCAGTGCAGTGGGATTGAGGCTCTTTACATCGGAACCTACACACAGGTCAGGTTTTAGAAGATTTTACATGGCTTACAAAAGCTTAGCAGATCGAGTTACAATCTTTGGTTATAATGTTAAACTGTGTCTTCATGCAAGGTCTACTTTTAGGATTTTCCATAAAATTCACTAAAATAATTATTCGTGCATATAAACCAAATATCTCTAAAACTTCTGCCAAATGTAAACAGAAAACTGTAATGAGTCAATTAAAATCATATCATAAAAAAATGTAAAGTCAAAAGTCTGTGCGAAATGGAAATGCATGAAACCGCAAACCAATGCGTGTTAAGACTGTGTTAACGTGTGCCAGTGCACTTGAATTGTCATGTGTTAAGTGTGTTGACTTGTAATATAAAGTACATTGCAATGTGCATGTAGTGCATTTCCCTTAATTTCAAGGGAAAATGCATCTCAGCAAAACGCACAAGTGTAGTTGTTCCACCCCCTTTCAATTTTCTGGAGCAGCGCCACCTCCTGTTAGAGTTACTTATTGCCAATACATAAATGACTGTTTGTTTTTTTTAATTATTTTTGTTTTAGAGCGAGAACATGGTGACAAGAAAGATGTGGATCCCAACGCAGGTAGATTTGTCAGGTACCAATTCACACCCGCTTTCCTCAGACTGCGCCAGGTTGGGGCAACGTAAGTAAATTACATCTCTGTGTGGTCAGTTAACGTTAGGCAATTATGAAAACACCAATGATTACCATTTATGTATTTATTGAAAAATAAATATATGTATTATTTATTCTTGGAGTGGAACTAGTATAACTTAATCTTTTCCTTCTGTAATCCCCTGTAGAACAGCACAGAGTGCCCATACTGATGGGGACAGCAGGAGACATCAGTGAGCAGTGGGCTGACCTCATTAGTATGCTGCTGCTCTTTCAGTGTACAGTCATCAGGCACTGGATGGTGTTCTTAATCAAATGACACTGTAGCTGCTTGTGGCTGAGAACCTTGCTGTGTTAAGCTGCCCATACACTTACGATCATCGGACGACGTTTTTCGTCCGATGATCGAAGCGGCGTATACTTTTCATATGGCGGCCCCATCCTGCCCCAATTACGCGCAAGGTTGGTTCAGCTGTAATTAGAAGAAAGCACCTAGACGAATTGCAGTAATCGACCGCACATATTTTCGTCTGCACATGTGCAGTGTAAATCGTACGAATTTTGACGTACAGAAACACCACCAACCTTGCGAAAATCATACGATCGAAGGTTTCTAACCTGCTGGTTAGTCAAAAGTTGATCGATTGTACAGTATTTGCGGTTGTACACTGCCTCAACCTTACGAATATCGGACGAAAACGTGATCGCATACGAAAATCGGCTGATATTTGTAAGGTGTATGGGCACCTTTACTTGGCATGGGTGCCTGAATCACAAGGCAGATTTTGCAGAACAACAAATTCTTTTGTAGTTTTTTTTGCTGTGTATTTAGCTGCTTGCCTGGAGTCCACTTTTAATGGTCCAGGGTTTGACTTTCCACTAACAGGTACACTTTTTATACAGCTTTTAAACAATGTGGAAAGTACCAGAAGCGACTTACTTGATGTTGCTTTAAGGCCCCATTCACACTGAGCGATTTATGGAGCGATTTTTGCAGCGATATCGCTGCAAAAATTTCCACGAGATATCGCTCTATGTAGCTTCTCCAATCCATTTCAAAGGAGCTGTTCACATCTCGTCGCTCAATATCGCTTGTAGCTCGTCGCTGGTAGCTTGTCGCTCCTACATGACCCTTTTTTCGAGCGATTTTGCTCCTGATTGCATACAGCCCAATAGGAAAAAGTTGCACGATATCGCTCAAAATCGCGCGATTTTCATGTCGCTCAGTGTGAATGGGGCCTTAGACCACGCATTTCTTATGATGACATATATGAATTTAGTTCTCCTTTAGCAGTTCTGTTTCTTGGTACTGAATTTGTTGTGTGTTATATAATGGCACAGTTATTGCTAATTATGATCCTAGCTACCCTTAGAATACCTTTTAACTTTCTTTGAACATTTACATTAGGCCATTCACAATAGTTCAGTACTCGGCTCAAGGTGTTTATTCAATCCTGCTGGACCTCCATCCTGTGACTGGTCAGTGATTAGTTAAGCAGCACAGTGATGAGCTCATCTCTATGTCCCTGTACTCTCTCCTCCTATCCGGGAGCACTGCAGCACAACTAACTGACTCCTTGTGCTGTTTCTCCCTATTGCAGTCTGAGTTCTGCTGTACATGGCAAGCGGATGATGATATCAAGTCAAATTCAGTTGCTGTTGTTTTTCTTGAAATAAGCTAATGCAGGTGTGCTGCTGCTGCTGCTCCACTACTATATCTTTTGAAGATCATATGGACGTTCTATTGTTGCTACATATCTGCTCCCATTTAAAGTGACACTAAACTCAGGAGATAAATCTTAAGGATGCATTCAAGTACCCTATTAACAATATTGTGCCTTATTTGTGTATCACTCGGCTGTAGACCCTCAAATAATCTCTGAATTGGTGCTGACACTGTCCTTCCTTCTGGAGGGTGGCTACTTTTGTTCCCCATGTTCCCTGTGTGTGTTGTAAAGTAGCCACCACTCTAAGCTCGCTCCTGTTATAGACTACAATCTCAGGTTTAGTTTACTAATTTGTATTGCGATTGTAGTCCATCACGGGAGTGATATGACAATCCTCTACAGGCTGCGGTCATCCGTGCTGCTTGTGCACCTTTTTCTTCCACACTTTTCCCTTCCACATAACTTTCTATTAATGTGCTTTGATACAGCACTTTGTGAACATCCAACTTCTTCTTTTGCAATTACCTTTTGAGGCTTCCCCTCCTTATGGAGGGTGTCAATGATGGTTTTCTGCACAACTGTCAGGTCAGCAGTCTTTCCCATGATTGTGATTCCTACTGAACCAGACTGAGAGACCATTTAAAGGTTCAGGAACCCTTTGCAGGTATTATGGCTTAATGAGCTGATTAGAGTGGGACAGTTTGAGCCTAGAATATTGCACCTTTTCACAATATTCTCATTTTCTGAGATTTGGATTTGGGGTTTTCATGAGCTGTAAGCCTTAATCATCACAATTATGACAAATCACGGCTTGAACAATCTTGCTTTGCATGTAATGAGTCTATCTCATATATTAGTTTCACCTTTTAAGTTGCATTAGTGAAATAAATGAACTTTTGCACCATATTCTAATTATTCGAGTTTCACCTGTAGTAGTGGAGCAGCAGCAGCAGCACACCGGCATGTCAGCACCAATTCAGAGATGATTTGAGGATCTACAGCCGAGTGATACACAAATAAGATACATTTTGTTAATAGTTAGGATACTTGAATACATCTTTAAGATTCAACTCCTGACTTTAGTATCACTTTGATATCTATAGATTGCCTAAGATCATAAATGCAAGCAACTGTAGACAATCATAGAAATTGAATCAAATATTATTGCCTGTGATAAAATGTAGCAAGATAAGTTTATGCTTTTTTAATTAAAAATGCTGTTACAAAATTTCCAGGGTTGAATTTACAGTTGGTGACAAGCCCATTAATAACTTTCGTATGATTGAGAGACATTACTTCCGGGATCAGCTCTTGAAAAGCTTCGACTTTGAGTTTGGCTTCTGCATCCCCAGCAGTAAAAACACATGCGAACATATTTATGAATTCCCACAGCTTTCAGAGGATCTCAGTAAGTGGCTTTTCCTTCTTCATGATAAACATCGATGAGTAGGTTTCCTTGATTTGTTTATAGTCTTTGTCACTGTGGGACTTGAGGCACCTTGTACTATTGTGAGGAAGAGTTTGTGAACTCTTGGAAATGTTCTGGAATTGTATATGAATAACTCCTGCATGTGATTGGATCTTCATCTAAATCATTATAATAAAGAGAGACTTCTTTAAAGCAGAAGTAAAGTTTTTTTATTTTCATGAAAACACCCTGAAAGCTCAGGTTGAAAAGAGTGCATGCATGGGGGCGATACAATAAAGACTTTGTGACACAGCTCTAACATTATTGCTGTATGTAGAACTCTTGTGCCAAATTCATGAAAGGTTTGTGACAGCTCCATATTACTGGATAACATAGGCACCGGCACTCCAGGTAATGGATCAATGTCGTCTGTTTATTGACACATGAAACATAGCACAATGCATCAAAAAGCAACGTTCCGGGGTCTCACAAGATCCCCTTCATCAGGCAAAATGAGTGAAGATTACTCATTTTGCCTGATGAAGGGGATCTTGTGAGACCCCGAAACGCTGCTTTTTGATGCATTGCGCTATGTTTCATGCGTCAATAAACAGACACCATTGATTCAATACTTGGAGTGCCGGTGTCTATGTTATCCTGTGATTATAGACGGTTGCCATCCGTCGACTTCCGCAGCACCCGTCTTTTATAAGGAACAGCGGTTTTGAGTGTGATGGGTTCATGGACTGTAGCTCCATATTACTGACACGCTGACAAAGTTCTTTTTTGGATTTCCATTCAGCAAAAAATACTTTATTTCTGCTTTAAGGGTCCATTGAGCTAATCGCACATTACCATGAGTTAAGCTCACGCTATCACACATGCACCCGCCCTAAGATGCTTTGCGGCCGCCCGAGCAGTTTCGGATTTTCGGGCGGGAGCGCGCGGCAAAGACGGGGTAAGTTTAAACCTCTGTTTAAAATGGGTTTAAAAAAAAAAAAAAAAAACTTTTTGCAAATATCTACTGCTTGCTAGCAGTAGATATATGCTTAAAAAACGGAGGCTTTAGAAACCCTTTAAGGAAAGAGTTTAAAATCCATCAGGTGTTTGTTTTGCCATCTGTGTCCTGCAGACACACCAGGAACCGCCGCTCCAAACGTGCTCCCGTGATGGACTACAATCTCAATACAAATGAATAAACTAAACGTGAGATTGTAGTCCATCACAGGAGTGAGCTTGGAGCGGTGGATACTTTACAACACACACAGGGACCATGGGGAACAAAAGTAGCCACCCTCCAGAAGGAAGGACAGTGTCAGCACCAATTCAGAGATGATTTGAGGATCTACAGCCGAGTGATACACAAATAATATACATTTTTGTTAATAGTTAAGGTACTTGAATGTACTTTTAAAAGCGAACTATAGGGTAAGTGTTTTTCCCCTTAGTTATCTTTAGGGTCACGGGAGGACATATACTAACCTCCTCCCGTGACCCAAAGCTCAGTATATCGAGAGTTACAGCTCGCGGTATACTGAGACCGCCTCGACATTACTGTCGAGATCCACCCAGCTGCATGAGTGAGAGCTGGCTCTGCCTATCTAGAGGCAGAGCCAGCTGTACCCGCCCCCTTCCTCGTCCATTCATCCAGTCAGCGCTGCAGGATCAGAGCGGGGAGAGGGGGAATCCCTGAAGGGAGCCGTGACTTGACAGTCATGGCTCTCTGCAGGGAGATGATCGAGAAGTGAGCGAGCGACGGTATGCGTTCGCTTATTTTTCGATCTATTGAGCCGACGTGTGACAGTTTCATTGTCACGCGTCGGCTCGAACTATGAGGATGAGTGATTTTCACTCACCTCATAGTTCTCCTTTAAAGATTTGACTCCTGAGTTTAGTGCCACTTTAAAAAAAAATCCTTGCAGTGTACATTGATCATCCAAAGGAGATTTTACTTTTCTCTTTAACAGTTTTCTTGGATTTCAGCTTTAATGCCCAGTACAAAGACACAAAGCAGGAATTTGGCATGTGTTTAAGACACTGTGCTTGCAGTTCCTGATGCTGCGGCGTCCATGTATGGTGGCATTGCATTTTAGAATTCAATCAAGTGTAGAACTAATTTGGTGCTTTTAAACAAACACAATATCCTAAACACATGCCAATGCACTGTTAATTCACAGGAAGGGGCACTTTTGCATCAGAGTCTTCTTATATACCAAGTTTACTGCAAATATCATTTAGTGGAAATGAAACCATCTGACATTGTAGCACCTATGCTGTCTTTCTCCTAAGAGTATTCTGGTCAATTTGAATTACTTAATTTTAAAGCTTCTAACAGAATCATCTGTTAGTTGTTTCTCTGCCTTGATTCGCTCTTCTTTTTTCCTGCAGTTCGTGAAATGATCATCCATCCCTACGAGACGCAATCAGACAGTTTCTACTTTGTGGACAACAAGCTAGTGATGCATAACAAGGCAGATTATTCATATAGCGGAGGCCCTTGATCCTATTGAAGGAGGAAACCAACTACAAAGCATTGAAAACAATCCCCTTCCCCCTAGCAGTTATACAAGGGATTGTGCCCAACTTCCTGTAGGAGAATCCATCCGGGATCCAATATTCTGTTTGCTAGTAGGACTTCTAAGATTGAGCGTAAATCTTCCCCAACCCGTCCTAGAGCCTTTTTTAGCACATTAAATCAGTGCAAGGATCTTCATACGTCTTCAAACGTTGGCAAGGATGCCTTTAAAATGATCTGAGTCCTCTCAATGAGAATGTGGTCTTTGTACCAGAGCGTCTGAGCAATGCAACTAGTTTAATAACTATCATTGTCACATTCAGCATCACAAATGTTCTCCTGGAACAAGGACTGTTGTAAAAAGTTATCCCAAATCTTTTTCAAGACCAACCAAGCTGATATCATATGGGCCATTCATTTTAGGACCAACCATTCTCGTATAACTTGGACCAAATCATCTTAGGAACGACTTTTCTCCTATCCCTTGACCCACACCAGGTCTCTTCTATGTCAAGCACCAACCGCACAGAGTTCAAATAAAAAACAGTTTTGTAAGCTTGGACCAGACCATTGTAAAGGGAATCCAAGCCAAAGATCTAATCGGTTCTTCCTTATCAGCCTCGTCTTCTTAGTAATCTCTTTAACTCATTGTGTTACTAGGCTTTTTTTGGCAGGCTTTTCTCTGATTTAACAGAAGTGTAAACTAGACATTTTGAAGCTTATATAGTGATGCAAAATATTATAAAAAGTTGTAATATGACATTTAAAAAAAAGAAAAGGTCAATTGTATCAATTATCAAGGTATAATTAAAGTCAGCGAGGCATATATAAAGGGCAGCTCAACCCAAACAGCTAGATACACTGTTTCAACTTGTGTAGAAGCTGTCATACCTGCCAAATGATTTGTAAAGTAATGCGTGTACACTCTGGTGTGCTACGTGGCTGTCCAGCGTAAGGGGCCACTGTCCTGCCTGCTATATGGACTACAAGTTAAGACTGCTAATGCCAGTGCTGAATGCTTCCTAAATCAATCCTACATAACGCCCACTCCTTCTTTAGCATTCAGCAGGCACTCCAACTGCAGTCCAACGGCAGTCCTAATTTTAATTTACATGATTGCTGCTTAATATAATAAGTAGGGACTTTGTGTAAACACTCCATCTGAGTTAAAGAGAAATCTTATAATACACATTAACTCGGGTGGACAAATTATTTTTGGATTCAGGAGCCAGTCTGTCCAATCCAGGAGCCAGCAGGATTTTTGTTTTGTTTTAGGAACTAGCTCCATTGACAGCAAGTAGAGAACCTCAAAAGTTAGGAGCCTGTTGTAATATTTAAGGAGCACCGGTGACCTGTCCCCTGGGATTTGTTCGGCCCTGTACTAACTAATAGGTATTTCTATCCTATCCCCTGGAGATGCCCTTACTGCAAATAGTGCAGAAATAGACCATGGCCCACATCGACCAGACAGAGATTGCCTTTTGTCAGGTGTTTAAAGACTAATGAAAGCTGGGATTCTTTGCATTAAAGCTACTAAAAAAGTAAAATTTAATCAAAGAATCCTAATTTCTGACCAAAATAATACTGAATATTTAAATATATAAATGTTGATTTAAATTAAAAATAAAATATCATTCACAGATACATATGTAAAAATGTCAGAAACTTCTCAGGAATATGTTACAATGCCATAGAATATTGCCATTTGTCAGTTAAATTACGTAGCTGAGGGTCTGTGCAAAAGTATGTTTTCATCCATTCATAAAGTGGAATAAAGAAGCACAGGATGTCTCCGTTTTCATTCAAATGTCCGTTTTAACTAATTTTTTTAATGTCTTCAGAAAAATGCTTGCGGTTACATCAGTCTTTGATTCCTAATTACTTTATAACCATTACCTGCAAAAGGTGGGTTCAAAATAGAGTAAAAAGCACCTTATGATGTGTCTGCTTTCTATGGACTTCAGTGTTAAAATATGGAAACCAACCAGATTTATTTCTAAAGAAGACTTGCGCTCAGAGGCATTTGTCTTGCTAAGTGCATGTATGCTAAGTAATGCGTAAATCTAGTACAGTACAGTGCTCCTCTTGACATTGCTGCCTCTTGCTTTCTCCCTAGAAGGATGGTGTCCTCTTTGTTTAGGCATTATCTAGAACCACCATCCACATCAGGGTCTAAGATGCTGGTCCACGGACAACGTGATCATGTAAATGCTGCTTCCTGAGCAGTAGCCTTTGGGCTTATGTAGACACACAATGTTTTTCTGCATTTGATGTGCATTTCCTTTGCATGTTAAATACAGAACAGCAGATTTCCATTTCCTTCAATGGCATAGTGGGGATGACAGTTCTGAAGCTGCTTTCTTTAGAAGCTGCAGGCCATATTGAGATGCATTTGCATTGTGTGAAACAAAGACTTTGCTTCATATGCTTTTGATCAGCACGATGTCTAATACGTTGCCTGTCTACATGAGCCATTTATGTTGTTGGCTTTGTTAACACATGTTGTCGTGCACAGTTCATCTGCTTGCTGCGACCTGACTCTGTGACTAGGCAGCGTATAAGTTCATTACACTTTCTCATGCCTAAACCATATAACCTGCTAGTGTAGAAATCTGTCATAACCGACAGTGTAAAAATCTATTACACTGGCATAGCTCAGTCCCTCTTCTTCTGCCTCTCAACCCATCACAAGTGTAAAAATCCATCTCTGTCTCGCTCAGATGAGCCCACCCTGCTATCAAAGAACAGTCCCAGTGAACACATAACTTATTTTTTTGTTTTTTTTAAGGGGGGGGGGGGGGGGTGGAGAAAGAACCCTCCTTTGTGATGGACCTTGCTTGGGCACTGTCCTTAACAGGAGTTCAGAGACTCCTTTTTACTAATAAGAGGTAGTATATATTTTTTTGGGACAATGATACTGCTTTTGTATATTGTGAAATGTCAGGAGTTTATTTATGCAGACCTTTAAGTTCTTGATAGGTCTGCTTAGAAACAAAGAAAAGGGAAAGGAAAGATAATGCAGAATCATATGGACAAATGGGCAACGAAAGAAAAAAAACTGAAGTACAAGATGCCATTGTCCATGTTCCTATACAGAACAGCAAAGTTACATAGATGGCAAACATTTCATTGTCTGTGCAGATGTGGTACTTTTTACATACAGAGTTGTGAATGTCATTTGTAGCGCTTTCCTAATGTAACTTCTTTTATTTCAGACTTGCTAGTCCTTTAAACATGAGTTGTGCTATAACGTAGGATACAAGTTGATGCAATACATCATAGCTCTCTAACTATACATAAGTTGTCTTTTAAAGTATATGGTAACTTACACACTGTGGAGCAACTATATGTTGGGCTGGACCGAAATTTATCCTGGGAGCTCGTCAATCATTGGTGAAATTATGGAGGCACAGAACCTGTCCAGGGTTCATGATAAATATTCACAGTTCAGCCAGCAACATGGCTCTCCAAACCTGGAATTCTTACATGATGGACAGTCAGCATACAATGCGTGTGCAATTAATCCACATCTATGTATAATACAGTGTAGATATCTTGAGTTGTATAAGAGATTTCCAATAAGTTGCTGAATTTGAGGTATGCCAACCTCTCTAATACTTGACTACTGTCTATAATATTGTATATGTGTTCTGTTGGTTGATGATGACATTTTTCACTTGTTCATTGGCTAGTCCATCATAGGATGCCTATGTTACTAAATGAATCCAGTTTCTCAATAGATTGTTGGGTATCACTGTGTGGTACTATATCACTAATAAAATATGGACAGTGTCACATGAATTAATGTGACTAACTTGTACAATCGATTCTTTTATTAGTTTGTTTTGAGTGTTATAAATTATTGCTAAAGTACAACTACAGCCATTTTTTTAAATTGTGGCTACTGTGGAGATGGGTCAGTTCCTCTGAGATTCCTATGGCTGTCTGTGTTCTTGTTAGTGATATTTCCTCTCACTTCAATTCCTCGTGAGGGAGCTCCTTCCCAGCAGAGATGCATTCCAGAATACAATCTCGACAGTGGTTCTGATCTTCCCTCACTATACTAAAAACATGTTTTTTTTTAAAATTGAAGTCACTGACCTTTATTGGAGAAATTCCTTTTCACTTCCTGACTGTGACCACTATCACAGGGACAGGAAATGAGTAAGCTTCTCCACAATGTGGACAAAGACTGCAAAACATTTGGGAGATTCTAACCAAGCAACACTTTCTCCAAAAGAAAAGTTTTGGCTAGCGATCCACTTAAAAACCCAAATCCAAGCACGTTTTTTTTAAAAAGTTCCCAAACTGGGGGTTGGGGGCTTTGCAGTAACTCAATTCCACCGGTAGATGTCCTCAGTCTTCCAGGAGGGGTGACACCCAGGACATACTGTGAGTGCAGGGCCCAGAGCAGACGTCAGCATGCCAAGGCTGCTCTCTGTATCATTAAAGACCACCTCCTGCTGGGAGAAGATCCAAAGAGAAAGAGGACGCTGTGTGTCACATGACAGCGTTTGGGGGGTGGTAGAAGTGACTCCAGAGTTGGGCTTTAATTATCTCAGACATGGCTTCTACATTTAAACTATTTTCTTAACTCAAACCTGTCACAAGCCATTTGAAACTTAGCATCTTATGAATAAATGCACATGCAGAGAATACCTTCAGTGAACCCCGTCATCAGTAGATCCTTAGGACCCGTTTTCACTATTGTGCTGTTGGAACACATCATGTACGCTGGTGCGATGCTCTGCCATTCATTGATTGCAGTGTGGTTTGCTGCTATAAATGCTAAATGTGCCTTTTTTACTCACAAATTTCTTTTATTAAGGTTTTGGGTAAAACAACAAAACAAAGCAGATATAGCATCTCGAAGGATATTCACTGTTACAAAGTCATGTAAGTCAGATCAACGCATGGTGATAGTGCTTACGACATATCAGGTACATTAGATGCTCACGAAAAAGGGATAAAACAACATAATGGGTTCAAAAAACAAAAAAAAGACACAATATTTAGAGATCAAGGAGGGGGGAAGGGTGAAAGTAGAGGAAGGGAGAAGTATAGAAAAATATCAAGGAGGTATCCGGGACACACCAAATGGGGATCAATTTTGCGATAGGAACCCTCGGCTAAGGAGACTCAGAAATGTGGGGGTATTGCATCCATGGTTCCCATACCTGCTCAAATTTACTTTGGGTATCTCCGAGGATGCTACTTAGTTTTTCGTGCACCATTATCCACGACAATTTAGAAACGACTTTGAACGGAACTGTCAGGGATTTCCAAGCCTGTGCCAATGAGATTTTCGCAGCCAAAAAGAAGAATGACAGTAATTTGGCTTCAGGTTTGGATAGGCCAGGGACGGGGCGATTCAATAAAACATACTGTGGGTCACGAGGTGGTCGGATCTGTAGCACTTTATATATCAAGCATAAAGTCTATTCCAGTATGGGCGTAGGCGTGGACATTCCCACCAAGTGTGCAACATTGTTCCTGTAAGTCCGCATACTCTGAAGCATAGGGGCGACTGATCCGGGTATATAGCTGACAGTCTTGATGGTACCATATACCAGCGGGAGAAAACCTTATAGTTAGCTTCTATCAGGGATATGTTTAGTAGGCCCTTAGACAGACGTGAACATCAGGTATGCCACAGCTCCAGTGGCAACTCGGTCTGCAATTCCCGTTCCCAGGCCAGCATATACGACAATTTGGAGGAGGAATTCACGAAAAGTGCGTAAAGGAGAGATATTCCTCCACGTCAGTCTAACCGCATGCACCATCGTTCATATGGGGTGGCTAAATGCGCCTTTTTGAAGGGGTCAACAACCCATTTAAAGGAATGGGCTGCTTTAACGCAACACATGTTAATGCGTGTGTGCACTAATACAGTGCAATGGAGTAAACAAGCCCTAAGATACAGTTACTGCAGCTTAAAG